TAAATAAATAAATAAATAAATAAATAAATATCTTAGGGCCGGACCTGTGGCTCACTTTGGAGAGTGAGGCACTGGTAGTACCGAGGTGGCGGGTTCAAATCCTATATAGGGATGGCCGGTGCGCTCACTGGCTGGGTGTGGTACAGACCATACCATGCCGAGGGTTGTGATCTCCTTACCAGTCAGAAAAAAAAAATTAAATAAAATAAATATCTTATAAGGTAGGTGGGAGGAGTAATGACTTAATACAAATACACTTGGAATTGTAGCTGGGCGATATTGAAGTTTCAATTTGAAGCCTCCAACAATTTGTTAGTTGTAACTTCAGAAATTTAGAGCTTTGCCCCTCAGCATATAGTCTGAACAAATAGTTTGAAGACCAGCAGCGTCAGCACCCCCTGAAGACAGGTGAAAATGCAGAATCTCAGGCCCACTCGGACTGGCGGCATGGGAATCTGCATTCCAGCAGACCCTAGGGGACTCCTGCGCACAGTCACGTTGGAGAAACGTTGCTTTAGGGTAAAGCAAGGGGGAAGGGCTGCTCCCAGATCACTGCGCGTGCGTCTGTTTGAGCATCTGGGCAGTGTAGACAGATGTGGCTTTGCATCCTGGCTCCATCAAGAATTAGCTGTGTGACTTTGGGCAAGTTGCTCTCAGATTCTCCATGGGGGAAGGGCTGCTCCCAGATCACTGCGCGTGCGTCTGTTTGAGCATCTGGGCAGTGTAGAAAGATGTGGCTTTGCATCCTGGCTCCATCAAGAATTAGCTGTGTGACTTTGGGCAAGTTGCTCTCAGATTCTCCATCTCCTCTGTGATCTGAGAATCAGCTACGTGTGTCCTGCCTGGCCGGAGCGAGAGCTTCGGACAGGCGAGCTGTTCTTTGTCTCGTCTTAGAAGGAGGGAAGGGCTCCCCTAAAGCTGAACCAAGGATAGCTAATGCTCAAAACCAAACCAGACTTCCTCCAATCAAGGAATAAATAATGGCCATGATAATAATAAACAAAACCACAGCTTCCCCCTGGGTGTTTGCGGGACACTGGAAATCCTGCCACGTTACCAGCTTTCTCTGGAGTGTGTGTGTTTTCTGTTTGGAACTACGGCCACTGCACATGCACTTCAAAGTAATGAAAGATGTTTAGTTTCTTACTCTACGGTTTTAAAAACTGTGCAAAGAAAATCCCATAGAGAGAGAAAGCACATGGAGTCTGTACGTCCGGTGCGATGAAAAGTTTGCATAGGAGGGAAAATGTCATTTCAGGTGTGCTGACATAACTTCCTCTGCAGGGTACATCTCTTTGCACACAAGGATTTTCAAGCCTGTGCTTGAGTAGGCTCTCGGCCCTCTACTCCCTGCTGGGGTCTGAGGTCCAGGTCATCTGGTCTTGGCCAGGTGGGGTGAACAGGAGAGCCCCCCAGCTGTGCCAGGTCCCCCTACGAAGCTCCCAGGCCGGCAGAGCTTCCTCCAGGGCAGATGGTATAAGCATACTGCAGATGAAGATGAGGTCCCCACCTCGCTGAACAATGTGTGTGTCAGCAGAATTCTTTTCTCCTTTTTATTGCCTCAGAGAGACATATGCTGACTTGGTCAAAATCGCCTCAGCAAGATGTGACTGATGATGTAGGAAATGAAAAGGCCTTGGCCAGCACTGGGAGGCCAGTGAGCGACGGGTGCGAACCCTGGGCCAAGCTGCCTAACACAATAACACCCCTCTCAATCCCAGGCCGTCTTTCATCCAGGCGAAGGCGGCCCCAGGTGTGGAGCAGACTGGGGCAGATCAGATTACGGTCCTGGAGCCCAGCGCTGGGTGCCCTGGCTTGGGAAACCACAGCTGGGGCTGTGTGGGTGGGGACTGGCTGCAGGGGAAACGAGATAGGCCCCATGGAAGTCCCCACGTCCTGGCTGGCCTGGGGTGGGGGCCAGGGGACAATGAGAGGATGGAATGCAAGAACTGCCCTTTCATCTCTAATATCTATCACTCTCCTGTTTGGCTCTCTCTTTCGCTCTTGTACTATTTTTCTATCGTTCTCGGAGTCAGAATAAATTTGCTTTTGTCTGCTTGGCCAAAAAGCAGACCATCATGAAAAGTTTCGTTGTTATTTTTAAACTCAGGAGGCTTTCCTGTGAACATATTTTCCTTTCCATGCAGATGGTAACTAACATCTATCAAGGGCTTTCTCTGTGCTCCAGGCACTGTACAAAGCCCTTTATGTGAATTGAATTAATTTCTGAATCCTCACAGCAACCCTAGGAGACAGGTGCTATTAGCCACCCCCCAAGCCCCCACATTGTACAGATGGAGAACAGAGGTACAGAGAGGTTAAGTCCCTTGCCTGTGGTATGCAGCTCTCAGAGCCCAGGCTGCAGCCTCCCTCCTGACGCTTTCCCTGAACAATCTGGAAGCCTTTCCTGCTAGTGGCCTCAGCTTCCAAAGCAGCACCTGACTGCTCACAGCCAGGTGTTGCTCATGAGCATGTTTGCATCTCTTCATCAGCAAGCATTAGTTGAGGGCCTGGTGCAGTCTTGGGGACTCTTTTGTGGGAGGAAGTAGGGAAAAGAAAGAGGCCACCCCTCCCCCAGCATGGATCACTGGAAAGATAAGGCTAAATAGGGGGTTGTGAAAGTCCAGAGGGAAGCTTATGTCTTCCCAGGTATTGGATATGAAGAGCATGTTGTCTTTTCATCTTGCATGAGAAAAGATGGCCTCTCAGAGGAAGGGCTGCCAGAGTGAGAGGTCTGGGAGACGCTTCAGTCTGGCGCCTGCATAGTCAGCCCTCAGTCAAGGGGCTCTTTAGGTATTGGCTGTGCTTATTAGTATTCATTCAACAGGTACTTATTGAGCACCTGCTGTGTGCCAGGCTCAAGGTGGGCTCAGGCGAGATGCACAAAGAGGAGTAAACTGGAACCCTTGTGGCTGAGGGGGACAAGAGTAGACACTAAGTAGTTGTTTTCATGAGCGAATGGTATCATCAACTGCTGCCCCCACCCCAGCCTCACTGGCTTGTGAAGATCCCCCAAAGATCTGAGAGGTGGGTGGGAAGCAGAGAAGGCTCCTGCAGAGCAGCAGCACCAGGCTCTCTTTTTCATTCCAGACTTTGGAAGAAAGTGACCTCCTCCATCTCAGCTGGCCTTGGAGGTGGCATAGCAGTTGCAAAGGCTTGGGGGGGGGGGGGGGGGGGGGGCCAGAGCCTGGCCCATGCACCTGCTGGTTCCACTGCCTGGCATGCTTTTCTCTGAGAAAACCAGGAAGCCCCCTGCCCACTCCCATCACCCCCTCCCCCCCATCACAGACTGAAATGAGATGGGTTATTTAGCTGCACACTCTGACAGACCCTGGATGCAGGTGTCACTCCTGTGACTTCCCCAGTGGTGCCTGGGTTAGATTCCCACACTCCACAATGCCCATCCCAGGTCTTCCCTCCTCCACCCTCCTGTGTGCCCTCCTCTGCCTGGCCCCAGCATCCTTCCCTGGAGAGAAGCCATGGACAAGAACTGCCTCCTCTCCTATCCCCAAACCTTACTTAAGCTTCCTACTTTGTCTCCCCTGGCCCCCAAACCAGCTTCTTGATGGGGGCCTGCTCATTCTGTGTCTTTCTGCCCAGCACTGTGCTTGGCACCAGGACTGGCCACATAATTTTCAAAGCCTTGTGCAATACGAAAATGGGGGTCTTGTGTTCATAGATGATTAAGAGCTGCAATAGAGACGGCAGAGCATGGCACCAAGTGAAGGGCTTCTGAGCTCAGGGCTTTGGGCTCTGCACAGACTGTAGGCCCATGAAGCCCACTGCCTGACACCCGGCACTCAGTCGACATTTATGGAAGAAGGAGATCATAGATGAAGGGCATGTGGAGGGGCTTTTAGAGTGCCTTGTGTGGCCAGTAGGCACAGGCCCAGCCCTGGGTGCTGAGGCTCAAAACCTGTTCCATCTCACAGCCTGGGGCCTAGGTATGAATGACTAAGACCAGCAGGCTTGCATTTCTGCTCCTTGCCTGGCCTCTGGCCTCTCCTTTCTCTACCTTGGTGGCCCCTCAGGCTGCCATCTTGTCCAAAAGCCCCCAAAGAGAGACCCAGAGGGCCACATGGCTGTAGAAGACCAAGATCCTTTCACCAGCCCTCCTGCTCCAGGGAGGACCATCCCTAAGTAAGGTTTAGCCAGAGCCCCCCAAACGAAACCCCCTTCACTGTTCATCTCAAACTCCTTCTGGGAATCCTCCACCTAGGCCAGCCCCAGGAGGGGAGGGAGTCCAGGTTGAACTTTTACCCCATAGGTCTCACTGACACTCTGGGCGAGGTGTTCATATTTTGCTCCCATTTTTGCAGATGAGGAAACCGAGGCTACTAGGAGCAGTAATTCCCATAAGGCCTCACACCAGCAGAAGAGACTGGTAGGTTCTGAATTGTTTGGGGCCTCCGGCTGACAGATGGGTGTCTCAGAATCACTCCTTAGGCACTTCCAGGTCGTGGACTGATGGGGAAGGGCAGACAGAGGCGAGCTGGGGAATCTGGTCTCAGGCTGAGGGGTGGCTGGAAATATACCAGGCCCAAAAGAGAAGGAGATGGGGGAAGAACTCAGGGCTCACACAAATTTCACATATTCATTCAACCAATAATGATTGTGGAGCCACAGCGGCTACTAGGCGCTGGGTTCAAGGTAGCTGTACAAGGACTTGGGAGAAGATCGAGGTCGGGGCCCCTAAGGCGCTCGGTTTCTAATGGGGGAGACAACAATAAAGGCACCGAATAACTCAAACAGTAATTCCAGGCAGTGAAGGAAACTAAAGAAAATAAGACAAGTGTGCGTGGGGGCGAGGAGGAAGCGACCTTAGCTTTGCTGGTCTGGAAAGGTCTCTGGGAGGAAGTCGCACCTGAGTAGGGGGCCAGGGGATAGGTAGAGTTCCAGGCAGGGGAAATGGCAAGCGCAAAGACAAGCTGGCGACAGGTTCGGGAAGTCGTGGAGGGGTCAGAGTGGCTGGAGTAAGATCGGGGGAGGGGGGGGTGGGGATGGAGGAACGAGTCTGGCTTGAGGGTCACCGCCTCCGGGAAGCCTTCTATTCCCGCGCTCCCCCAGCTTTTCCACCGCAGCCCGAATCCCACTGGTCCCGCTCAGGCCTCCTTCCTCGTCCCGACTACGAGTCCCGAGAGGGCAGGGCCGGCTCGGATTCCTCTCTCTGCATCCCCGCGGCGTCCAGCCCGGCGCTGGGTACCCCGTGGGCACTCGGTAAATATTTGTGGAGCGCACTAGAAGGAATGAATGAACCCATTGGGCACCGCTGGGGGGAGGGCGGGGCTGAGGGCAGGTGGGAGGCCGCCGGCGCGGGAGGGGCCCCTGGAAGCCCGTCCTCCTCCTTCTCCTCCTCCTCCCAGGCCCCAGCGCGTACCACTCCGGGGCTCCCGAGGCGGCCTCTCGGGCGATCGAGGGCGCGCAGAGCTGGGAGAGCGACCCGGGGCCCCTGCTCTCCGCGCCGGAGGTCGGAAGACAGTGGGTCGCCGCCGCCCGAAGGCGAGAGCGCGAGAGGAGCGGGAGGAAGGAGCGCGCGCTCGCTCGCCCGCCGCCTC